AAAAAAAAAAATAAAAGAATTGGCCCCTCTTATCCAGGTAAATGTATCACATCAATAGTATTACATGGTGTAATCCTTCAATAAAAAAAATTGAAAATAGAATTTTTTTTTTATTTGTTCATTTATTAATGAACAGTTATATCATGTGACATTGTTAACGTGGTGCACTATTAAACTCAATATGGAACATTTTTTTCTCTTCAAAAGGTATAGTCCATCCAAGAAGAGCCACTACTAGAATTTGTCGTTTTCAGCACAACACGTTCACCTTATATGAATTAAATAAAAAATTAATAGATCATGATTGATTATTTTTAAATAAGAGCTTAAAATTATACGGTCCATTAACATCTACGGTGAGCGAATAGTGTTACACTATTAATCTAATTTTGACAACAACAAATTCATTTAACCGGTAATATATAAATAAAAAATCTATTTTTTTTTCATTTTTACAAAATTCCTGATTAGTTTTTTCTATAATTCTTGCATAATAAATAAGTTTTTTATTAGATTTTGTTAGCATAAAGATCAAAGTGAATACTTTAGTTTAAGGAAGTCTATGGATGGTTTGTTTTTCTAATGGGAAAGAGGCTTAAAATTTTCACCTAACACGGCAAATAAATATATAGGGTTACACCAAGAGATTTAACACAATCAATTGAAAGGGCCAGTTTAGCTTCATCAATATTCAACACAACTCTAAAATAACACAAATTTATTTTTTTTGGGTTTAATAGTCAAAGATGTTTTGATCAACATATGTACACTTCGACTGATCTTCTCCCCAGTCTAGTTAAAGACATATCACCACGTCAAAATTATGATAATAATAAGAGATAAATCCCTCATATTCTGACTCCAAAAAATTACTAAAATTCAAACTCAGAATCTTGATTGTCACCTCCAACTAACAATTAACATGAATGACAATTTTTGCCTATTTTGATATCTTACACAAACTTTACATTAAGTTGCCTTGGGTATGTTTAGTGGCCAAGGGGTAATAGTAATTTATATTTCTCCCCCAAGTACAGAAAAACTCAATAAATTCCTCTATATGAATCTAGAAAAGACACATTCATTGAATCTAGACAACATATTTGAGAGGATTTTAAACCACAGTATGAAATTAGCAAGGACACATTCATTGAATCTAGACAACATATCCATGGTGAATAACTCCATTTTATTCAATTGTACATTGTGTATCATGAATTTAAGCACGAGCGGACACAAAAAATTTATTTAGGATAGGTATTTTAATTATCCAGTCTAATTTTTTCTCTATGAATAAATTATATTATATAATATATTTATATTTATTATATAATATTTGATACAAGAAGTCCATTTAACATTAAAAAAAGGAAAAAAATAATTTATATTGTATATGTATAAAAAATGACTAATTATCACCATTATAAAAAAGTGGAGTTAATTGTCATTTTTGTAATTAAAAAATTATCAATTATTCACTAACAATCTATTAAATTTACTTAATAAATGATATTCCAAATATTATCACTAATATATTATAATNTGACTCCAAAAAATTACTAAAATTTAAACTCAGAATCTTGATTGTCACCTCCAACTAACAATTAACATGAATGACAATTTTTGCCTATTTTGATATCTTACACAAACTTTACATTAAGTTGCCTTGGGTATGTTTAGTGGCCAAGGGGTAATAGTAATTTATATTTCTCCCCCAAGTACAGAAAAACTCAATAAATTCCTCTATATGAATCTAGAAAAGACACATTCATTGAATCTAGACAACATATTTGAGAGGATTTTAAACCACAGTATGAAATTAGCAAGGACACATTCATTGAATCTAGACAACATATCCATGGTGAATAACTCCATTTTATTCAATTGTACATTGTGTATCATGAATTTAAGCACGAGCGGACACAAAAAATTTATTTAGGATAGGTATTTTAATTATCCAGTCTAATTTTTTCTCTATGAATAAATTATATTATATAATATATTTATATTTATTATATAATATTTGATACAAGAAGTCCATTTAACATTAAAAAAAGGAAAAAAATAATTTATATTGTATATGTATAAAAAATGACTAATTATCACCATTATAAAAAAGTGGAGTTAATTGTCATTTTTGTAATTAAAAAATTATCAATTATTCACTAACAATCTATTAAATTTACTTAATAAATGATGTTCCAAATTTTATCACTAATATATTATAATAATAAAACTATTAAACTAAAATTTAAGAGCTAAACATAGTAAAAATAATTGAAAATTGATTGACACATAATAAAGATTATAATTAATACTCAAATAGAAATAGAGACTATTTCTCGTAAAATAAAATAAAATTCAAATGAATGTCCATTGTAAGAACTTTTACTTACAAAAATTCATAAATAATAAAATTAAGGTCATTTGGAGAAAGTCTTAATACATTGAAATAAGAAAATTATACGGTAGGCAAAAGTAAAAAATATATGTATAGTTTTTAGAATATAAAAATAGAAATATTCATATAATATTTTTTAAAAAAAATTTCCCTCGCCTAAGGATGTCAGTGGACAGAAGCAATGGCGGGGGCGTAGTCTTCATCCCCATATCCGCTAAAAAAATTTTTGTCTATCTCCGGTCCACCCCCGTTAACAAATATAATTTTCATTTTCATCCTCGTTTGTGAGTAAATTTGTAACCCTCGTCCCCCTCCTTCACCTTTGGCCCCACCCCCATCCATCTTACCTGCCCAAGCCCAAGTCCTAGCCAACTTAATCTAAAATTCTAAATAAATCTAACATTCTAAATAATATAACATAATTATAGAATATCATAATATAATTAAAAGTTTATCATTTACAACATAATATAATTAAAATCTTATCTACAACATAATATAATTAACAGTTTGTCTTCCTTATAAATCGAACACACTATCATGCAACACAACATAATGTAACAGAACATAATCTAACATAAGAAAAAATATTAAAACACAAAGATCTACACTTTTACAAGCCAATACCATGAAAAAAAAAAACAAAAAAACAAAACAATGTCTACAAGAAAAAATCATTCAATAATATGTAAATTTATATTTACATCAACATGTATATATATATAATAACAATAATAATAATAACGGATAAAACGGGGCAGGGAGAAGGTGGGGCAGGGTAAGTGTCAATCTATCCTGGCACAGGTTTATACGAGTATTTTTATATACGTCTATCGTTCAATACGTATGATCCATTTTTGATTCAAACGGATCGAATTTGGATGAATACCTATTTTTACTCGATTCACTGTCATCTCTACTCACGCCCTTGTGTTGCTCCGCCTTCCGTGAATTTTAAGTGGTATCATTATTTATAAGAAGGTCCTTTAATTTACACAGATAAACATGGCAATCGCGTCGAACTGTGCTAATTTGTATCAGGTCTTAAAGCAGCTCCATGAAAGTTTTGTATTTTAGTTATATAAAAGTACACTTTTTTCTATTTTAACTACATATTTTTTTAATACATATTCTAACAGATTTTTTATATTTTAATAATTTATTTTGAATACTATTTCACATTTTTTTTTTTGATCTTTATTGGGACCGTTGGAGGGAGAGTGAGAGATAATGGAGGAAAGACAAAGCGTACAATAGAGTTGAGAAAGGACAGAAGGAGAGAGAAAAAAATTATAAAATATTTATACAAATTGATATGATTATATTCTAGGTTCAAAGTATTACTGTAGAAAAAATCTCCTTTTAGGTATCTGAACATATTTTGTTGGAGTATAATTTTTGCCTTTGATAACTAAATTTTAGCTATTTTAGAGTTTTATATTTTATGTTAGAGCTGCTTTTAATAGTTTCGTATAAAAAATTGTCCAACCTATATACAATTCGTTTATTAAAAGGTGAAAATCACAAAATCAAATAAGATCCGTTTATTAAAAAAGTTACATGACACAACTTGTGCTATTGGCTAATTCTATAGCACAAATTTTTTTTTAATTGAAAGTTCTAATTTTGCAACAAATTGGGCC